GGCGGCCCCGGGAAGCCCCCGGGGAGCCGCCAGCCTGGTCCCGGGAAGAGGGGGAGGGCTGGGGGGCATAGGATGGGTGGCTCGAGCTATGCCAGGTGCAGGGTCTGCTGGGTGGGTGCTGGCAGGCTTGCACCTGGCACAGGCACCGTAGCCAGCCCGTGCCCCTTTAAGGGCTCTGGGGCTGGGAGGAGGGCAGAAGAATTTCCCTGGTGTTGGCCAGAGTGGCCACCAGGGAAAGCTGGGGAGGGCTAGCCTCCCACTAGTTCGAATTAAGTGGCTACACAGCTCTTAATTCGAACTAGTTAATTCAAACTAGGCGTTAGTCCTCGTGGAATGAGGTTTGCCTAGTTCGAATTAAGCGCTCCGCTAGTTCAAATTAAGTTCGAACTAGCGGTTTGCCTGTGTAGTGCCTATCAAAGTTAATTCCAACTAACGTCTGTTAGTTCGAATTAACTTTGTAGTGTAGACATACCCTGGCTCAGCACTGGTCAGATCCCAAGGGTGCCAGATTACAGAGGTTCCACCTGCAGAAGCCTGGTTACTGGGCCAGATCAAAGTGCTACCGTCATGAGGGAGGAGATGGAGAAACAGTCCTGCGCTTTAAAAAGGAGTTGGGATGTTGCAAAACCGGACAAGGAAGCCAGTGGTGAAGGTGTTTCTCCAAACTCATGGCTGATGCCCTGGCTGGATGCGGGGGCTGGGTGATGGAGGCAGCATGAGACTGTGCAGAGAATGGATGCTCTGTAGCGGAATGCCAGATGCTTTATTTTCACTGGACCAGTTCTTAGCGGATGTAAAAAGCATCGATGGCAACACTCAGAGCCAGGCCTGCTGCCTCTGGAGCCAAGGCGAACCCGTCGAGAGGAGCTTAACAGGGGGCGGTAGCACCCCAGGGCCTGCACGAAGCAACTGTCTCCCACAAAGTGCCTGGGACAGGCATGCTGGAGCCACCAGGCGAGCAGCGGTTTCCTCACCTAGAACATACCCGCAGTGCAGCCTCGGACCTCCCCCGGGACCTGCCGACTGCAGCTCCTTGGCTGTCCCCGCCCGCTCTGGGGACCAAACGAGGCTTGTCCAGATGTTATTGGGTTTCATGTTACCCTTTGCATTCTGCCTCCCTCCTGCCAGCCACTAACAGTGCCAGGGCCTGGGGGGCATTGCCAGCAGCCACTCCAGGAATGTATTAAACATGTTCAATAAAGATCCTGCAGAACATCTACATCCCGGAGACCCAGGACAGCTCCACCACCCAAACTTCTTGTGAACTCCAGACCAAAATCCACACCCCCATTATGTGGCACCAGAGCCCTTACGTGGGCCATCCGTGGGAAGCCCTGTGTGTCCCTGGCACTGGCTGTCGGTGTGCAGTCAGGCTCAAAAGCAGGGCAGATGGTTGCGCAGGAGGATGGTACCCAGGATCGCTTCCAGCTGGGCCGAGCAGGGTGTGGTGCTGTTCCATAGCCAGACTAACAGACCCAGCTCCTACTATTTCCTCGCCCCTGCTAAACTGGGACCAGCATCCCATCAGCTCTGCGCAGCCAGTCTGCCCCTTCCTGGGGCTGCACTGACATCTTGTGTCTGCTGTGGGAAGAACGGGGAGCGTAAAACTAAGGGCTTGGCTTACACTGCAGCTGACAGAGAATCAACAGGTTTTCAGCCCTAGTTTTACGGCACCTGAGCGCCAATGTTTACTATGGCGACAAGGCTGGATGGAGAGGGGGCCAGGATCAAGTCTGGAAGCGCAGGGGGAAGCTCACGCTAGTGAGGACAGAGGGAGCTGTGCAGTAGAACTCCAATTCGCTTGTTTTCTTCAAGAACATCTCTCATTCCCATGTGGCAATCCAACCCTGGCAGGACCCTGCCATCAGCTTCTGATCACAGAAGCTATCAGAACGACTGATAGAAAAAATTAATATTCAGCCCCATAAGGGCTGTAGACACCAGCCCACCCAAGCTGCTTGTATTTAGAGAGGGCTATGGTGCCACCTAGCGTATAGTCAATTAAATCTACAAGACTTATTTTAACATCTTCAGCATCAACCTAGTTCTTGAAACCTATCAGTGGCTAAGAGACCTGACATGACCCCATAACATTTATCATCCTGAAATAAAAACAGCAAATTGAGCTAATGTGTAACATGCCCGAGGAAGTGGCTGCACAGCGTACTGACAAAAGGACAGAGTAAGATGAGGCCTCAATAGCCATGGAGGCCCACAGAAAAATCCATCAAGCACAAGATCAGATATGTGCACAAGCCAGAAATGACAGTTCACGGTTACAATTTTTATCTACATTTGTGTTGGCTCCATAACTCAACTAATGACCCAGCTAAGCTGTCCTGGCAGACACCACAGAGCATTCAGTTGTAGATTACTACAAGGTGCTATTAATCAGGACCTAATGTAAGCCAAGTCCCTAAATCATGGACAGTTATTAGCATCTATATAGTAGCTTGGGCTTTTTCCTTCTTACCAAAGTTCAGTTTTAAGTTCCTGTTCTGCTTAGTTTAACTCTTTGCCTAATGGGCTGTCTAATGTCCCAAATCCATGTGCGCACACACTCTCTCTGAGCTAGCCTACTGCTACTGTCCCTGGAGGTCAATAGGCAAGTTACGTCATGACACCGAGGAGAGTCTGACCATCGGCCTAGCCCCCTGGCATTTGGGATGTCCTTCCCCCAGAAGCACTGAGTCATGCAATAAATCAAATCTTTAGTACTCTTGCTTCCAAGACACTGATAGAATCATTCTCTTGGCACCCTAACTTACCAGTGTACTGTCCTTGCTTGCTGGGTTGCTTTGTACAGTCTGTCAGTAACAAGAGTTAAGTTTGCTGCTCATGTGGCATACAGAGCCAGAAGGTGCTGGTGGAAGTGGGGAAACAAAAGCTGAGAAAGGTCAAGAGGTTTCTTTCTTGGAAAGCAGTCTCTGGAATGCAACTGTCCTTCGCACCTTGCACTTGCAGAGGGCACTGTCCATCCCAGCCAAGCATGAGCCGGGATGAACAAGGTAGGAGCATTACTTGCCAGTTGCCCTTTCCATGGACTATTTGTAAGTGGATTCTTACTAATTCTGTGTCTGCTGTCTATTGTTCATTAACATGCATTCAAATCTCACTGTGCAAGGCAGAGCCATTCAAAAACAAGTCAGAGATGGTACGTTTCCTCCAGCGGGAAAGCTACATGAGCTGGGTGAGCTCTAACATTTAAGGGAAGAGGAAAAGCTAAGCAGGTATATTCTGAAGTAACTTGGAATGTTAGGCTACGTCTACACTGGCCCCTTTTCCGGAAGGGGCATGTAAATTTCACGAGTCGTCGTAGGGAAATCCGCGGGGGATTTAAATATCCCCCGCGGCATTTAAATAAAAGTGTCCACCGCTTTTTTCCGGCTTTTAAAAAAGCCGGAAAAGAGCGTCTACACTGGCCCCGATCCTCCGGAAAAAGCACCCTTTTCCGGAGGGTCTTATTCCTACTTTGAAGTAGGAATAAGACCCTCCGGCATTAGACGCTCTTTTCCGGCTTTTTTAAAAGCCGGAAAAAAGCGGCGGACCTTTTTATTTAAATGCCGCGGGGGATATTTAAATCCCCCGCGGATTTCCCTACGACGACTCGTGAAATTTACATGCCCCTTCCGGAAAAGGGGCCAGTGTAGACGTAGCCACAGTGTGTGACGTAGTGGGGGTACTTGCTGGGCTGTGGTGACCTCTGCTGTCTGGAGCAAGATCCAGCAGGGAAAACCTCACTATGCAAAGGTGACGCCAAACCTGTTGAACCAGACACCCCCCATGGAGAGGAACAAAGGAAGGTGGAATGCTGCCCTGGCTGGGGGGGGCAGGGCTGGAAGAGTGTGGGTTAGTTGCTGTCTGGGAGCATGGAGGAGACAGCCTAGGGAAAGGGGCTGGAGTTTAGGGGCCCAGTCTCCCCCATCTCAAGGGGGCCTGAGGCATCCTAGCCCAGCTCTGTGACCAGATTACATCTGTGCTGTGCTGTATCCTGGAGAGGCAATAAACTTCCTCTATTCCACCGGCTGGTGCAGTCTGTTTGTGCCATTTCGGGGTGCAGGAGAAGGGGGACCCCCAACGCGCCGTCACACTTGGAATGTTAGTGTCAACATGCAGGAGAATGTTGCCAGAGCATAACATTGTCTAACAAGTGAAGCAGCCATCTGGCTAGCAAGGTAAATCCAATTGTGTTTTCAATTTTGTTTAAGGAAGTTACTTGCTCTCGTGCAATAAGCTGGGACCAGTTCTGATACAATTATTTCCCACAGATTTGTTTATATCTTCAAAACTAAACACGATTTTAAACAATGTTTCTAAGAACTATCTGTAAATACAAATTCTATGGCATCCGACTTTGATTTACATATTTCCTCGGAGCAGCCCAAAACTAGGAAGAGGAAGGAGAAGACAGAGGAAAAATTTGCTTCAAAATAAAGTAACTGTTTCTGTGACTAATCAAAGACTCCCTTAATTAGAGAGATTGAAGCCCAGGGCAATCTCTCCTTTTCTACAGCAGAGCTTAATCTCATTTTCAAACATTGATCCTTAGGCTTTCACAAACAGGAATGAACATCTGGAAAAATAGGCTGCATGTATATAACTGAGAACAGGCTTGCAGGCTCCTCAATTCTGAGCTCTCCAAATGAAACAACGGTCCTTCAACTTTCTTCCCAAAGCACATGGGATAGAGGTCGGCTTCCTTCCTGTTATGGAACCATTCCTTTCATCTGCAGAGGATCCTAGAACAAAAACCCACAATCAGTAGCATTCACAGCCAATGGGAGCTGTGGGAAGCAGTGCCCGGGTCCACGCCGCTTCCCACCACTCCCATTGGCCAGGAATGGCATTCCGTGGCCACAGGAGCTGCGATTGCCAGTACCTGTAAATATAGTGGACACGGCCCACCAGGGGCTAACCCTGGCAAATCATCAGTGTCATTGCCCACCCCAGGTTAGAACCTTGCTGGGTTTCTGAGCTTGGGCTCCTGTCCTACCCTGAACATCTACACTGCTATTTTTAACATCGAGCACAAGGCTGAACCAGCAGACCCAGGCTCCAAGACTCAATGCTGGGGATCTTTCTGTGCTGTGCACATGCTGGGCCTGTATCTCTCCAGAAGGTAGGTTGCAAGTGGAAAAAATGCAATGACAGAAGATAGAAAAAGTACCTTTTCTTATCCTTTCGCCCTATGACTAACCAGAAACAGATTTGGACAGCAACTTCTAGAGGTATCTTTCTTTCACACACACACACTTCCGACAGATCAAATCATTTAGGCTGTGTCCAGACTCAGGGGTTTTTTTCGAAAAAAGTAGCCTTTTTTCGAAAAAACTTCACCTGCGTCTAGACTGCAGCCGCGTTCTTTCGAAATTAAATCGAAAGAACGCGGCTTTTCTTTCGACGGCGGTAAACCTCATTGCACGAGGAAGAAGGCCTTCTTTCGAAAGTTCCTCTTTCGAAAGAAGGCGTTCTTGAATGTAAATAGGGCTTCTTCGAAAGAGAGCATCCAGACTCACTGGGTGCTTTCTTTCAAAAAAGCAAGCCGCTTTTTCGAAAGTTCCGCGTGCAGTCTAGACGCTCTCTTTCGAAAGAGCCTCTTTCGAAAGAGGCTTGCAGTCTAGACATAGCCCCAGAGACTATCAGTGACTACTTCCTAAAACGACACTCTACAGCAGCATGGAATAAGGAAACAGTTAAATGCCTTAAGTTTTAAAGCATTTTCTTGTTTTCCTTTATTGTATGCTTAGTGAGGGGTAGAGAAAATTCAGGGTTACAATGGGAATAATGCCAGTGCAGACACAAAACCCTAGACCACACTTAATTGTTTAAGTGTTGTAGAAGCATGCCAGGATTTTATCAACACCCTTCCCCACACTGGACCCGAAAAGCCCCTACGCGCAACTGTGGCATGGGCTTGTCCCACATGTGGAACAAAAGCTCATTCTCAAAGCGGAGGGTGGAATGCTGCTTTCTGCTCCAATGTGTTTCGCTCACCTCCCAAAGGTTACCAGGTTCTCAGTTATATCTGCCAAAGGGAAGAGATCCTGGAGTTAATCAGCAGGCAGTTTGGGTTTATTAGACATGTAAGTCAGTGTTTCCTTTGGCTGGGCTCTGGCAGATGCTCTGGTCATAGTGAATGCTTCAGATCTCCCTCAGCATAGGGCAACATGGATTCTTTACGTTTCGGACTCTCACATCCAAGATCATCTCCGTACTGACCCTTCAGCCTTGGCAGAAGGCATCACAGAACCAAAGTGCCCTCTGCAGGGCCACTGATCCTGAGGGAGGATAGCTTCCCTGCTGTGCAGTTCTGGAAGCTACGAGGTTCATCAGTCTCTGTGGACAGGTTTGTTAGATTTTAAGAGACAGGACTGGGGTGGGAGGATGGAGTGGTTTCTAATCAGAGACCACGTGTTCACTTCCCGGAAGATCAAGGCTGTGGCGGCTGAGCCTCCAGAGTTCAATTTAGTGGGTCTAGTAAAGACCCACTAAATCAAAAACTGAGGGTACCCCATCAATACGGGAACTCCAGCTCCTCACGAGGAGTAAGGGACGTCAACAGAAGCATTTCTCCTATTGATTTCTTGCTGTGAGACAGAGCTGAAGCTCAGTTTAAGGTACATCAACTCCAGGTACAGTTTTTACATAGGTGGAATTGTGTACTTAAACTGACCTTTGGCTGTAGCGTGGACCTGGCCTGCACCTGAAGGTGACTGTATCTTTCCTGTATTGCAGATTAGATCCAGTGTGTGACTAGCGGACACCACTAGTCTTGACTTAAGCCATGTCTGCGCCTGGGAAACTGAGATTACTGGCCAGCCTACTCAGCTGCTTTCACAAGGGCACAGCCACTTACTTTGAGTGCAGTGGACTCCACTATTGAGTTTGATTTAAGCGCCTTCAGCTCCAGATGAGAGTTAGTAGTCAGGATGCTTGGGAGACAGGTAGCTCAGATGATCTCAGCCAGGATCAGACCAGATATGTAGGGTTGTTTTCATCCCTTCCATATAAGCACTTGATTGTGGCAAAGGGGGCACTCCAGCCCACTCAGGCTGGAGGTGTTCTTATTGCCAGTTTAGGGATCTCATAATCCACTGATCTGCTGCTAGCCTGCCCCTGAAAGCATACCTTTCCTCAAAGTGCGGATGCGCCACAAGTCCAGAAGTGAGTGTTGGACTCTATGGGTACGTCTATACTGCAGAGGAAAATTGAAGCTGCCACTATTAACCTTCCAGGGCTCGAATCAGTTAAGACAGCTAATTGGAACCAAGAGGGGCACTCCAGTCGATGCCAGCAGCCCTGCTTTCATGAGGAGTAAGGGAAGTCGAAGAGTGTGCTCCTCTTGACTGCCAGCAGCATAGAGAGCACCGAACACCGAGTTAAGCCTCTTCGACTTCAGCCATGCAATTAACGTACCTAAAGTTGCATATCTTAACTCGACTGTCCTGTAGCGTAGACGTACCCTGCTACTGCCCCCCTTCACTACCCACACTCCCATGATGGGTTCCTCCTCTGCAGCTTCCAGGGACAGCAGAGAAATTCTGCCCCAGTTTGTGGTTACCAGGGAATACAAGCCCAGGCAAGACAGGAAGATCTGAAAAGAAACAGACCTGTTTCAAGCCACATGCTGCTCCTGACAGTTTGTTTGTTACCTTTAGTTCTGGTCCCACAGGAGAAGAGCTAACAGGAGCAAACATTCGGCAGCACATTTCCTTCTCTTTATCCATATAGTCCCTGTAACAGCTGCAAAAGAGAGCGCATCGTTACAGGATGGCGACTTCTACAGCTAAAGCAATGTATACCCCCCATACTGAAAGAAGAGCTGCTCTGAACAGGGCTGTTCTGGGGCAGGGCCACAGGTGTAAATGGCCATCACCTTTGACTGAATTAAAACACTTCGCTTTTTATCTTACACAAACACAAGTATGTGCCAGTGTTGGAGAAGTCCGAGACCATGTGTTTTTTTGAACCAGAACTGCCACCAAGTGAAATAGCCACTTCCCTACAGACACACAAATATCACCTTGAAAAACGAGCTTATTCTTCCCAGTTTGGAAACCTGGGAAAACCAGGAGGGTATATCTAGGAGGCAGAGAAGATTCAAATAGCATATCTGTGGAGACCCAAGCAGAGCTCACAGGAAAGCAAGTCAGCCCAGATGACACTTGTTCACATCATGGAACCAATGTTCCTGGCCTCTCATGATACCAGGCCCCCTTCACGTTCTCGGTACTGTATTTCCTCTAGGCTAATTCACAGGAAGAGCAATGAACTAGGAGACTGCAATCAGTCCAGGCAGTACCAGAGCTCAGTGAGCAGTTTGCGACCCCGCAAGCACTTCACCGAAGGCAAGATGCTGTCATGCCAGAGAGCTGGCGAGAGAAACGTTCTGACATATCGGAGCTTTCACCTTTTCTACTTCAGCCCACTGCCTGCCCCCATTTGAGCAGTTAGCCAAGTAAGCATAACATTTCACTGGTTAACTGATTAAACAGGATTTTACATTCCTAGCTGCAACCGCATGTATCAGGTCCCTGTTAGTTTTCCTGCTTCCGGTAACTAGGGAGCAAGGGGAAAGTGCAGAACCTGCTGCATCCCTCTTGCTCCTGGCTGCCCAGGGGAGAGATGCAGCAGACTCTGCACTTTCCCCTCACTCTCTAGTCACAGGCAGACTATAGTCAGCTAGCTGGCTCCTTGTCAGAGCACCACACCAGCTCACTTTTACCGCTGAAACTAACCAGCACGTCCTAAAGGAAACAGAATCTTATCACAGTGCTCTAGTGCACAATGTTTTACTGATGACAAGATTATTTCAGCAGTCCCCATCTAACCTGTCATCAACAGCCATCCTACTCAATTGAAGTGACAGCAGCTGCAACAGCAACACCAACTTAGACAATTGTATGGAAACAGTGGATCTGTCATCCACTCCTGTGTCACACTTAAGCACTGCACCCACAAATCAAAGTAAATCTCCCCACTTTCTTAAAAAAAACTTGTTTCCCACGGTTCAACCTTTTGCTGCCTTAATCCTTACAAAAATTAGTCTGCTGGCTCAATAATTCTTTCTAGAAAGAATCTTTAGACAGTTATTTGCCTTGTGGAAGGTACTGAAGTGTGAGGGGCCTGGAGGGGGGACATCTAAGCATTCTCCCCCCCAACTTTACACAACAGCTAAAAGGAGTTCTCTCACCTGGCCAACTTTTTCAGCTCATTGTTAATATCATGGTTAAAGGGCTGTTCCTTTTGAGCTCTGACAAGGAAATCCCGAGCTTTTTCGTACTCTGTCAGAGAGAGACAAGCCTGTCATTGAGAGAAAGACAAGAATTAGAGAACAAATATCTACTCACAGCAGCGCTTCAGGATTACTTTGTGGGAATATAGGTTTCCATTTTTGGAACAATTGTCGGGGCCCATCAAAGAATAGAGCTATGCAACGTATTGCAAAAGGTCAGCGTGGGCTCACAAATCACACTAGCTATTATGGTAGCCAGTGGTTCACAGCATATCTGAAAGCCCGGCTCAGGATTTCTAACAGATGTCCTGAGTGGCTCATTTTGGCCTATTCTAGGTCTTCCCCCAGACCAACAAGGCTGAGGTTTAGCTTGCGGCAACCTCTTATCCCAACAGAGGAATCCACTGTTACTCACCTGGCCACACCTGAATAGTGCTTTGGCATTTCTCTTGTCAATCTCCAGTGCCTTTTCGCCGTATGTCAGAGATCGGACAGGACGCTCCAGCTTCAGGTAAGTAAACGATAGATTGAGAAACACCAGCAGTTTGGCAGCGTCAATCTGGCATTGCTCATCCCCACAGGAAGCCCTGCGACACAGGATCAAGGAAGCCTGGACAGATGGGGTTAAAAAAGCCACAGAAATAATGGATGGGGCATATGTTTGGGGAAACTGAGGACTTTCTGATCACTGATCTAGAGACACACATCAACTTAACCATCTTTGAAACAAAAAACAAACCAAAAAATGGCATTTAGGAGGATGCAAACAGAACGAATCAGGTCAGTCTCTGCGTTTGTGGCACAGCATACCTCTTCCCCTCCTAAGGATGTTAAATTGTATTTAATTAGCTAATCGAGTAGTCAATGGAATTTCCATTGACTACTCGATTAGTTGATAAGGAGGGAGGAAACTGCAAAGCGTCACTGTGGTTCTGTCTTTTAAGTGTAGTAACAGCCAGGTGGTTTTTAAGCTGACTCCTCCCAGCCAGCTCCTACTCCCCCTGATAGAGGCAGCAAGAGGGGGGAGAAGCAACTACTCAAGTAGTGACTTGACAAGCCTAGGCTTATCGACTACTTGCTTACATCCCTACCCTCTTCTGCTTCTTGCTGATTGCTCGCCAGCCACGCTGTCCGGCGATCTGCACATGCGCAGATCGCCCGAACCCAGCTCTTCCGGGTTACAATCTACTCACCCGTGGTGAATAGACTGTATTATTTGTCGAGCCCTGCTGATTGACATTAGACTGGAGACTATGTTTGTTTTTTATTTTAAAGTGCTTATTTCACTGTTAATGCTACAGAGGTTTTTCGGTGTTTGTTTGGGGATTTTCCTCTTATTAATATATACACTGCAGAAAGGAAAATCCTACAAATTTTACAAGTATGGGTGATAGAAGAAACCATCCACAGAAATTGTGTTTAAGTACATCCCCACGTAGGCAAAAGTAGCAGCAGGAAAAGTATCCTCAAAACATCTTATAAGACACAAACACCTCTGTCCCAGCTAAAGACTAGGACCATAGAACAGATCTTGTGGCACTAGAAATAAAAAGATAAAGTCTCTCAGCAACTAGTGATGGGATCATGTTTCCCTGTTGGAAACTAACTACGAGTAAAAACTTCAAAAGCGCTTATGTGATTTAGAGGCATTAGACTTGTAATACGTCTTGGCAATCTGAGTGCCTAAGACATTTCTGAAACATTTATCTCAGAGCTCCCTCCCTACATGGGGCCATGCGATAGGAATAGGTCATCCTCCTGCTGTAGAAAGCTGTGCTGGGAGATTCCAGCGAGATGATCGTAGTAAATGAAGTAACTATGTTCTAAATCTGCACAGCCATTTCTAGAACCTGAGTTATATTCCCAATACACCACCCATCTTTACATTTCCTAACTGGTACCAGCAAGGTGTAAATGTGGGAGAAGGGGGATTCAATACTAGTACCAGCCCAGACTTCCTTTCATTGCTGCTCAACACATACCTTGGCTGAGCATACAAAAGCATTGGATTAATACTGACCTTAAATTATCAACTCCTAACACAATTGAACACATTAGTTTAATGATGTCTCCCAGATATATTGTGCTAGAGGGTAATTGCTCGCTAAACTGTCTTCCACTTTGTGCTTTCAGCTAATGCTTAGCCATCATTTTACTGTCGTCTGCATAACCCTGTTCTCAGGGTTTCATTACCCGCTTGTATCTATCTTTGGCATCCATGAAGCGCTTCTGGCGGAAGAGGTAATTGCCAAATTCCCTCTCTGTGTTTGCCACCTTCAACACCTTCTGAAGTGGGAATGTACCCTGCTGCTCCTGCGTACAGAAACCAAAATTCAGCCATTTAGTAGACACAAAATAGGAACACTAAGACTAGCAGGAAGCACCTATGACACTCCTAAGTGGTCACACAAGGGAGTAACATTCCAAAGTCTAACCCAGGGGTGGGCAATAATTTTCACAGGGGAACCACTTAATGAATTTTGGTATGCAGATACTGGCCAGCTCCGCCCCAAGAAGGGGCAGGGTCTAGGAGAAAGAGGTGAGACTGGGGACTAGCCTTACCCCAGAGTTGTCTGGGGCCAAAGGCTTTGAAATAAAAACACAGCAAAGGGCTCCTGACTCCTGACCCCACCACTACCACCCGCATTGCTGTGGCTATTTAAAGGACTCACAGCTCTGGCCCCTGCCATGAACCATTTAAACAGGATTCTGCTGTCTGAGCCACCCCTTGGAAATCTGGTGGCATAGGCAGCAGAATATAAAAAGAAAGTGGCCAGATGCAGTCTTCAGGGTCATCAAAGTGTTAGGTGGGCCAGATACGACTCTCAGGCTGCACCTTGCCCAGCCCTGGTCTAACCCATACAGAGTAAGCATGAGAATGGCCTCAAAAAGGACACAGAAGGACTGTAATGCCAATAGGCCTGTCTTTAGGATTAGAAGACATCCAAACAATGAATGATACCCAAAGGTCAGCTCAGGAGCAAAAGAAAATACCTTCCTCAACTGAATGAACATTGATACACATTGATGAATTTCCCAGGTGGGTCATGAATGACTCCAGTCATCCGAAGAAGTGGGTGGTGCCTACCATCTACATGTTTTGTTGGTCTATAGACACTTCTTGTTTAAGTATGTCCTTGAGCTGTTCAACCTAAATTCAGTTCCACTAGAGGGAGCTGGACTCCAAGGTTCTTGTAGGACTAGAAATAATAAAATACCACCCTGACTAGCTTCCCCCCTTGGATTACTGGGAGCTATGGTGCAAATAAGCAAACACGTTTATTTGCAAACAAGCAAAGCCGTTTTAAGAACAGCAGCTTCCATTTGTTTAATGCTTCACACAGGATTCAATTTTCTTTAATTTACACTTTACAATTTTTTTTTCTGCTGTGAAGGAAATCTGAAACATTTTAGAGCCAAACCTTCAACTGGTTGTAACCAGCTGTACCCCCTGTGACGGCGTCTTGGGGTTCCCCCGTCTCCTGCACCCCAAAATGGCACAGACTGCACCAGCCAGTAGAATTGAGGGTGGTTTATTGCTCCTCCAGGATACAGCATAGCACAGATGTAATCTGGTTACAGGAACTGGGGGCTAAGAGGCCTCAGTGCCCCCTTGAGATAGGGGAATCCCAGCCCCCTCCTGTGACGGCGCGTTGGGGGTCCCCCGCCTCCTGCACCCCGACATGGCATGAACAGACTGCACCAGCCGGGGG